TCGGCGCCGCCGCGGGCCCCTCGGAGAGGGCGGCCGGCACGCGAGCCGCCGAGCAGCCGCTCCCCCGGCGCCGCAGCCCTCGGGACTCTCGCTCCCATCCCCGCGCTCCTGCTCCTCCATCTTGGCCTCGGCAGTGGCGGCTGCCGGGAGGATGTGCCGCCTCCTGGCCGGGGGAAGAAGGAGGAGAAGATGAAGAAGTACCGGCGGGCCTTGGCCCTGGTCTCCTGCCTCTCTCTGTGCTCCCTGGTCTGGTGCGTGTCCTCGGCCGCGGGGTTTTCCCGGGAGGGCTGGAGGGGGAGGGGAACAGCCCAGGTCACACCCCCAAATCACCGCGACTTTTCTGGTGCGGGTCTGCGCGGTCCCTAGGATGCGACAGACCGCTTACTTAGTGACTGGCCCGGCGGCACTCTGCGGAGATTTTCGTGGTGTGTTTTGGAATTTGCAGAGACTTAAGTGGGAGAGAAGGGCGCCTGGGTAGAGGCGACCCCCCGAGTGCCTCGTGCTCATTTACCCTGCCGCTGGGACACGGTGGGGCTTTGGGCAGTGTCCAGATAGGAGGTGCTAGGTAAGTCGCTCGGGTTTCGCTGCCCAGCCACTCGCTTTCACAGTGCGCTTAGGGCACAAGGCATGTGGGATGTGTACGTTCCCGACGTGAGAGTTTGAAAACGTGGGTTGTCCCCAGGGGGAGAGTAATGTACACGCTGTGGTTCTGGACATTCCTCGCAGTCTTTGGCCTCCAGTGCACGTGGGGCTGCAGTTCTTGGAAACTTTTGGGGGCGTTATGAAGCCCCTTTTCGGGATTTAGAAGTGAGTGTCTTAGGTGTAGTGTGCACAGCCCTTTCTGGTGGTGTGGCTTGGGTGATGTCTCGGTAATGGGAGGATAAGTCCTGTGTTTCGAAGGCGGGAAGAGCGCTTTGCCTCTCAAGTTTATGGAGTTTCTTTTAATCCCTGGCACATTTGAATTTTGAGGGGAAATGAAATCAAAGAGAGCTTGTCAGGTAAAGGATTGGAAAAGTCATTCTTCCCTCCTGGGGAATTTCTTTAGAAATGTGTGACATTTGCTGACTTAAAAGGTACTTTTTCAGTCAAAATGATTTGCTGTTTATTAAATCCAGATAAACTAGGTTTTTTGTTTAGCTTATTTCTGCAAAACAAAAATAGTACTTTTTTTTATGGGTGAGGAATGGATTCCAAAGACACTGAAGTTGTAAAGTTGTTGCTCAAACAAGACTACATAAATAAGGGGAAAGAAAACACTTGCCTGGCTGAGCATTTTGCTCTGAAGGTTGATAGAAGTTTTAGAAAACAAGAAATTTGGCCTCTTGTCTTTCATTCCAAACCCTTTTAATGAGACCAATGTCATCCTTTCCTTCTACAGTTTTTAGTATCATGTTGGGTACCAAGAAGTGTGTATAGGTAATCGTCCACTTAGCCCATCTTAAATTTGTAGATAAGGTACCGAAACATTGTATTCATATCTACCTCTTTTTGAGGGCTGCTTAGTTGTTTCTAGATTATGCATCTTTTTCCTCATTCTCCTTGATCTTGCCCATCTTTAGACCACGTTATTCATCATCGGGACTTCCTGAAATGGCTCATAGGGTAAAGAAGCTATACTTTTTGTTCAAGGTTAAAATGCATTAGTATCTCCAATTTTTTTTAATTGAAATGTATTTGACATATAACATTGTATAAACTTAATGTAGGACATGTAGATTTGATACTTTTATATATTGTAACATGATTGCCATTGTAGCAAGTTAGCACCTCTGTGTCACATGATTATCTGTGTGTGTGTGTGTGTGTGTGTGTGTGTGTGTGTGTGTGTGTGGTGGGAATAAAAATCTTAGTCTCTTAGCAAGTTTCATGATTGTGATACAATATCATCTGTATTCACTATACCGTGCATTATTAGATCTCTAGGACTTATTTATCTACTTAGTTGCAAGTTTGTACCCTTAAACATGACTTTAAAAAATTAATTGTATGGTAGAGATGAAATCAAGTATTACAATGTGGTTCTTAAAATCATTCGTGGATTTAAATTAACCACACTTCTATTACTTTGTATAATTTCTGACTATCTTTTGCTTGAGCTCACCTCTGTATGATTTCTCAGCATTATTAATTAGCGATGTTGAGACGATCATGACCTGTTAGGGAAAAAAATCAGCCTAGTATTGAAAATACTAGTCATAAAGTTCTGTAAAGTTTGTTGACTCCCATAGTGAAAAATGGATGTTGCGAATTTAAGGAGAGTGAAAAGTTTAAGAAACTTTAGGTTAAGAAACACTTGGGTCAGTATATTTTGAAGTTTGTTTGGACTGCCAAATTTAGAGGCATTAAAAGGCATTCAAATAGGATACTTAAGCTCGAGATATTTTTGGAAGGGTGATGACGAGATTTGGGAAGAAGATTGTGCAGGGTGATGATTGGAAAAGGGTATGTTGTGTCTTCTGAGATTCTTCTTTCTTGGGAAATTAAAATATTGAAATTATAGCACTGACTCAGCTGGAGGACTTAATTTTGCTACAGTCTGGTCTGTACATTATTTCCCAACATCTCCATCCCCTTTTAACCTATATATGTACCTAATGCCATTGTGGGAGTAGACAGAAGGTTTACAGTAGCGTTGATAAGCTCCTCTTAGTAGTCATTTTGTCATCTTTGTCATTCATAAATTGCCCCAAGAATTTGTGATAAGCTGTATTATTTTGTAAATTTCTGAATGCTCTTTGTTTATAGTAGCATACACTAGGTTCTAAGGTTCCCTCCCCCTCCTTCCAACATTCCTGAATTTTGTTATCACTTTGTTTATACTGTCACATTATGTCTCCCCTCTCCTTTTGTCTTTCCAGCCGACAGTCCAAACCTTAGATTACTTTTATAGAAAACCCGTCCTGTCCATCTTGTTGTTCATTCCAGTTGCTATATTTTACTTTTGCATACTTTTTTGTGACTCTTTATCAAGTAATACAGAGTATTTAGGGCATAAATTTACAATAGCTGCAGCACAGAATGATATGATAGCTGATATTTATTGTCAGCTATCTGTGTCAGTCTGGGTTGTGTGTTTTATACATTTTAGCACCTTTAATCTTCACAGCAACCCTGTGACATAAGTATTGTTTTAACTTCATTATGCATTTTTTAGTTAAAGATGTAGAAAAGTAACTTGGGGAAGGTTAAGCAGCTATTAAGTTTTGGAGCTGTGGTGTGAGTTTAGGTAGCCTGACCCATGGCAGAGGCTGCTAACTGTTGGGCTCCTTTGACAGTGGGTCTGAAGGCCTTTAGATGGCTCCATCACTGACTAGATATGCAGCCTTGGACATGTTATGGAATTTATTTGAATCTTAATTCTTTATTTCCCCCTTTTTTAAAAATTGCATTTAATCAGGTGTTGTCATTGTGTTACCCTATGAATCTTAATTCTTATATCCTAAAAGTGGGAAAACTAATTCATTCACCCCTCACAGGATTGTTAGGAAGATGAAATATGATAACATACATGATATCTTTGTAAAACAGGGTATATTATCTATATATTTCATTATCAAATCATTCAACAGAGATTTTTTTCTCATGTTTAGTATCATATGCCGTATTGGGCATTGAAACCCTAAAAATAGGGTGACCATCTTCTAGTTTTAGCAGCGAAAGTCCCACATCCCAAGAATTCCCCGTGTTAGTTCTCTGTCGCTGCTGTGGCAAGTTACCAAAAATTTAATGGCTTAAAACAGCACGCATTTATTATCTCATAGCTCTGGGGGTCGGAAATCCCAAGTAAGTCTTAACGGAGCTAAAGTCAAGGTCCAGGCAAGGCTGGTTCCTTCTTGAGGCTCTGAGGGGAAGAATCGATTTCTTGACTCTCTCAGCTTCTAGGGGCTTCCTGCGTTCTGTGCCTCTTCCCCGCCTCCCAGCCTCTTGCTGCAGTCATCACACCTACTAATGACTGATCCTCCTGCTGCCTTTTACCAGGACTCTCCTGATTGCATGGGGCCTACCCAGACAATCCAGGATTATCTTCCCATCTCAAAATCCTTAATCACATCTGCAAAGACCCTTTTACCGTGTAAAGTAATGTATTCAGGGATTAGGACTCGGACATGGGGGAGTATGTAGCCTACTATACTCTTCTTCACCAGGAGGATCAGTTATCACCCTAAAGAGGAAAAAGACTTGGTCTGTGCCTTAAACAGTGCATATTCAAACTTGTGAGTGTGTCTGCCAATCATTAAAACCTTGTGCATGCATGTTTAACATGTGCTTGTGTATAGGTTATAGGTCAATATATTAGTGTATAAGTCAATATATTAGTGTATAATATATACTAGTAATATATTAGTTTTCATAATAATTTGTGTAATTGGATGTTTAAGGAAAATGAGAAAGAAAAGCCATCTTAATTTCCGTTAATGGTACCTTTTTGCTATCATTTAAAAAGTGGTAATCTTCGGTGAGTGCCGTGATTGACTAGATTATTTAGTATCACCGTGTGGATGGAGGATCGCTCATACTAGTTAGGCGTCTTAGCCCTGCCGTTTTCTTGTTGGCTTGTGTAGGATTCTGGTGGATAAAACACAGTAGCTGCTTTCATGGAGCCTACTGTGGTTGAGAGAATACATTCTGTGATCTAAAGTTACGAATCTGTGAAATAAATTTCAGAGAGAGAAGGAAAGTTAAAGTTTTTAAAACTGAGGCAACTAGGAGAATTGGAGGTATTCAGAAAGAAAGGGTTTGAGAGAGGAGCCGTTAATTCAGGCGAGTGCGGCTGTCCACAAGGAGACCTAATGCAGACACCTAATATGTGGGCTTCAGCGTGGGTGAGGCCGGGCTGGAGTTGTCCTCATCCAGGGGACCATTTTTGAAAACAATGTTGATGGAACATGGAGGTTCTGCATACACTTAGAATTGAGAAAGTGCAAAGCAAAGCTCTGAAGGGAAGGAGGAACCGGGTTGGAACCGAAGGATGGGAAGAGGTTTAAGGAGGTAATTTGAATGAGCGGCAATATAAAAGGTCTCAGATAAGGCTGAAAAGCTTGAAAAGTAAGAGAAGGGCTTTGTTTGCAAAAGAGGAAAGAGATTGATAAGCTTTTGGGAGTGGAAATAGAAGATATTTCAAGAACTGGCAGGTGTGAGTTCTCACACGTTTGCTTGGCAGCCAGAAGGGGTAGAAGAGGCTGGAATAGCCTAATGGTTGTACACTTGGACCCATCCTACAGAGCGCCACTGGATTTATCTTACCGACACG